CTGATGCTGTATGGACGCTTCCCTGGCAAATCCCTGGCAAATCCTGCAGTTACCGGCCGCTTCCTTGACGAACTTTGCTGAATAGACGGAAGATGTCTATTATACATGATGGCTCTTCATATACTGCAGTGGGTGCGTACATGTTTTTTATGGCATTGGTTTTACTAATAAAAAGATGCACTTAGATGGTGGCGCCCCTCTCTTTTCTAAGTAATCAAAGATCCTTCTATAAATGGTGAAAAAACCAACTTAAAGCTGCCAACACTCCCCTGCTGATACCTAGTACAGTGTAAACATAAATTAATAAATAGTGCGGCGCTCTAAAATAAATAAATATATATAAATATAACCGTAGGTTCGCGAGTCCGCAGTTTCCGGTGCGCGGTGACGCATTTCCGGCGTACGACGCCATCTTGCTGCACCTAGGAAGTCCCATGCACATGAAGTACACCCACACATCGGTGAGGAGGGTGGACTGGCAGAAAATGTGAGTGTTGTCACTCTATACTTTTAAAATAAAGGAGTCATTAATTACTGCACTTAGAGGGCATTCTCTTTTTTGACTCACTGGACTGGTGAACCATTGTCCTTTAGAAATATCCTGGTGGAGTGAGAGAAACAGGAGTCTCACAAAAGAAATTTAAAGAAGGAGAAAAGCTGCTGGTCTTTTGTGGAATAAGGATCCAGGGTGATCCTGCAAGCCTGCTGGCCCTTAGGGGTCACCGGGAGGAGGTGAGGAGGCAATTTAGCCACCTGTAGGAGAGGAGTTTGGCACAAACCACCAATTTTTCATCACCACACATCGCATGATTTATTTGTCACCTGATGGACTGTGTGTTTTAAGAATATTTATGAATTGAAATATATGGTTTTTTTGCACCTTTTCTTGGCACTTTAGCACGTTGTTCACTTTGTATAGGATATAATTATATATGATCACTTTATGGAATGTCTTTTATGAACCAACATGATTTGTAGACACTAGGTTTATTATTTAGATCACTTGAGGTATATATAATAGGTTGCATATTATTTATTTATATCATTTGGATATATTTTAGGTATTTCACTATATGAATTGGTCACTTATTAATTTGGTCACATATTGTAATACGGTTATATTTATATTTATTTATTTATTTTAGAGCGCCGCACTATTTATTCATTTTTGCCCTCTCTTTTCTGTTTACTGTTTTTAAAGAATTTGATTGTTTAGATGTCTTCAATGTATTGGTTCGTACAAAGTGGTACAGTCAAGGAACCATCCCTCATTACCTTGTAAGTAAGGATGCATTCATACTATAGTGTTTCATGAACAAGCACAACATTGCCTGAGTTGTGCACGCACTTATGAAATGCGCAAAAAAGTGTGCTGAAAAAAGGAGCATAAGCTGCTTTTCCACATATTTCGTGCCCCTATTCCAGAGGTCTACTAAGCCACAGAACACTAACCGTTGGTGCAAAGTGCAAAGATAGATACAGAGTTGAACGCAAATAAAAGGAATTTTTTTAGAGGCCCAAATATGTGTAAAGAAACACACGTGGGTTTGATATACTAAAGGCAAATATACTGTGCACTGCAAGTACACCCACCAGCTCTGTTGATTTCTATCACCCAAACATGTGCAAGCAAAAATGCTAATTTTTTTTTCCTTGCATGTGATTGGTATTCTTTGCAAAGTGAAGCTTTACCTCATTTACTAAGCTCTGGAGCAACTGCACTTGCAGTGCACAGTATATTTGCCTTTACTAAATCAACCCTATACTCTTGTAACTCATCTGTCCCCTTCAGACAGGCAGAGAAGCAAATCACTAGTCACCAGTATTGCCAGTGCTCTCCCTACAGTCAATCGTCCTTTACTGACTATGTCTTGCTCTGCATTGTGTCTCTGCACAGAGGCAGCCATCTTGGTAGAGGTAGGGCTTTGCTTCCCTATGTCAGACCCTCCAGCAAGGAGAACAGTGATCAGCACAGCAGTGATATCACTAAATTTCACTCCAAATCTCATGAGGCTAGCATCAGAGGCAGTAGGGCCATGGATCTCACACTACAGATATACATCTATGAGGCTGGAGGCACCGGATTGTACTCCCCTTGAGGGTTAGGGACTGATGTGAATGTACAATATATATGTAAAGCACTGCGTAAATTGACGGAGCAATAAAAGTACCTGAAATATATAAAAAAATAAATATTTCTATTTGATACAAAAGATAACAGCCTTAATTTAGACATGAGTTTTCTCACTCATTATTCAACAGTTTTATGACCCCCTCTGTGACTATCATCCCAACCAACCCCCCTTCCCAGTCTTTGATTTTGCTCTGTCTTATCTGTAGTCTAATCCTAGTAATATAACAATTGCTGTGTACATTTGTTTGTGTTTTTTTTTTCCCTTAGAGATTGTTTCTTTTAACATTCTGCTAAAGCTGAGCTGACAGATGCTGCAGAATCTTCATGCTTTGTGAAGTAGTACTGCTTGGACCTTGAAGAAGGGGACATACCCCAAAAGCTTGTCCTGAAAATTGTATATTAGTGCAAATAAAAAAAGTATCAAGGACAGTACTCAAGGGCAGCACAGTGGCTAAATGGTTAGCACTTCCGCCTGGCAGTACTAGAGTCGCTGGTTCAAATCCCAACCACGGCATCACCTGCCTGGAGTTTGCATGTGCTCCCTGTGCCTGCGTGGGTTTACTCCGGGTACTCTGGTTTCCTCCCACAATCCAAAGACATGCTAGTAGGTTAATTGGATCCTGTCTAAATTGGCCCTAGTATGTGTATGTATGAATGTGAGTTAAGGACTTTAGATTGTACACCCCTTGAGGGTTAGGGACTGATGTGAATGTACAATATATATGTAAAAGCGCTAAGTAAATTGATGGCGCTATAAAAGTACCTATAATAATTGGTGCAAACCGACCCTTACTCTTTGTATTGTTCATATTTTTCCACATTAGATACCACCAAGCTGAACTGTTTAATTTCATTGCATAAAAGGTACAGAAGTACTTCTGACGCTAAAGGAAGTTGTGGCCTGGGACAAATGTTCATCACCGAGCAATGATACCCGTACATAGTCATAACCCTAAACTAAACAACTGAATTCCGTTCTGATGAAATCTGACAAACTCCTGAAAACCGACTTCCACAATGACTTTTGCAGATTTTCTTCCCAAGAGTAATTGTCTTTGTTCTGTCTATAGTTCAGCTCACCCTGCCAAGTTTCAGAATAACACACATTCACACTAAGCAGTGCAGAAAGCAGAGATGATGTGTTGTGTGCGGCATTGTCTTCCAATCAATCACCGTTCTGTCTACTAAAAATGGATTCTGGATGGTTGCTTGAGGTTACAGAACCTTGCATACTTTTTCTGCCTTAGGGTCACCATACACATTACAATCTTTTTACAATCAACTTTAGATTTACCAAAACCTTCTATGTAATAGAAGGGCAAATCTAAACAACCTATTCAATTTGTATTTAGTCAGGCCCTTGCACTATATGGTTGATGGCAGATCTAAAGGAGGTTGTACAATTAAATAGTTTTGTGTATAGCGACCCTTAGGCTACCCTTTAGTGAATTAGTCCTCATGCACACAACGCTTTTACAGCGGCTGTTTTTGATTTTGTGTTTCTTGTCTACAGGCTGTAAACTCCGTAGCATGTTATCCTATGTGTTCCATGCAACACATAGACTGGAATCAATGTTTTTTGGCTGGGACATTTTTTGGCTGCAAAAAAAACCCAGAACTAGTTGGTTATTAGAGGAGTTTTTTAGCTGTAAAAAACGCTCTAACGCTGAAAAACGTGCCAAAATGTGGTAAAACATGGTAAATCGCAGCAAACCAGCATTTTTGGACTTTTTTTGACCAAAAAAAAAACCCTATTAAAAAATGCTAAAAACCAGCATTATCAAAACGTCCAGTGTGCACGGAGCCTTATAAAAAATGAAAAAAAAAAAAACTGCTGCATTGGAGGGTTTTATAGCCAAATGCACCTTCCATAGCATTGAAATAATGCAGTGGTGTGATGTTGTCTTACTAAGTAAGACAGGGCTCGAGAAATCTCAGGAGCCAGGTCGCCATGGCATCCAGAAACCATGACCTGGCGCCTGGGCCCCCGCCAGCCCCCACACCCGATCTTCTCCCCCAATCCCTGCACTCAGGGCTGGGACAAGGGGCGGGGGACAGGAGAAGCGTCAGCGACAGTGAGGAGAGAACCAGGAGAAGGTGCCGGCTCTCTGTGCTCTCTCCCATCCTGTCAGTGGAGCCCCATCCTGTCAGTGGAAGCGGGGCTTGTGAAAAAGAGGTGATGGGGGGGCTGTTTGTTCTGGGAAGGAAAAAGGTAATGGGGGGGTAAAAAGGAATTTGTGCCAGAAGGAAGAATGAGGGGGGGGGGGTCAGGTGTTAGAAGGCAGGATTGGGGAAGATTTGTTCTAGTAGGGAAGAATTGGGGGGATTTGTACTAGGAAGGGGAATTTTGAGGGAGACGATTTGTTCTAGGAGATGGGATTTGAGGGGGATTTGTAGTAGGAGTAATTTGGGGGGAGGATTTAAGCTAGGAGTGGGGATTTGGGGGGGGAGGTTTTGTGTTGGGGGGGAGGATTTGTGCTAGGAAGGTGGATTTAAGGAAGGGGAGGATTTGTACTAGGAGGAGGATTTGGGGGGAGGATTTGTACTAGGAGGGAGGATATGTTTTAGGAGTGGGATTTGGGGGAGAGGATATGTACTAGGAGGGGGGATTTGGGGAGAGGATTTGTGCTAGGAAGGGGGATTTAAAGGGAGGAGGATTTACACTAGGAGTTAGGATTTCAATAGAGGATTTAGGCTAGGAGTGGGGATTTGGGAGGAGGATTTATGCTAGGAGGGGGGGATCTGGGGGAGAGCTTACGCTAGGAGTGGGGATCTGAGGGAGAACTGGCTCTTACATTTTTTAGCTGAATCCTAGATTGAAAGCAAATTTGTCAAACCCTGGAGTAAGATTAGTACTGTCACTTACCGGAGCTGACAGATGCTGCAGAATCTTCATGCTTTTTAGCTGCAAGCAAAAAATAAAATTACTGATGAACCTAGATAGGAGAATTGTGACAATTATAGCTATACAGATCTAGATTCTGGCAATCACCATAAGCAGTACACTCCACCCAGCCCCTCTCGCTGACATGTATCTTTCACTTTGTTCGAGGCAATGATTAACAACAAGCAGGGGCTGAAATGCATGGAAAAGAGGTTACTGGGTGGGGTGTTCTCATTCATGCTGGAACAATAAAGTTGGTTTAAAGCTTTTCAGAAGTGACAGTGTGCGTCTTCATCACATGTCTGTTTGGGGAGGAGCGGATCCTGGTGATATGAGCATCTGTGGCTGTGATGGCAACAGCGATTGACTTTAGGAGTGATACTGTGGTTTGTGATGGCTATCACCATAGATGACAGATATAGCCAATCTGTCCCCAAGGACAGACCACAATCTACTACCTAGAGAAAATAACATGCTTCTGCTGAATTTTTCAGTGTCCAGAATAAAGCAGTATTAAACCAAACACAATACAAATTAACATATTGCAGCTTATTAAACCCTAAATGTGGTGGCTGCATTAGTTTATTTTAGACTTTTTTCCTTTATTTTCAGGTGGTGATCCGGTCAGTGACAGATTTCCTGTCTTAGGCAGGCCATAGATGGGTCGACAATCAGCTGATTTTTCAGCCGAAAAAAAAAAAATCGGCCGATTTTTGCACAGTTAATGGGTTAATTGGTCTGCCGGTTTTTCTGGATTTTAGCACTTTTTTTGATTGGTAAAGTTGGAAAAAAATCAGCCAATTTTGCCAAATCGGCCGATTTTTGCGGCAATGATGGGCAAATCGGTTGATTTTTTTACCGATAAAAAATCTGCACATGAGCTGTGACAAAGAAGAAGGAGAAAAAAGAAGAAGAATTCCAGTCCACTATTATATTTGACATGGAGAAGGAGAAGAAGAAGAAGAGCAGAAGAAGAAGAAAAAGAAGAATTCCAGTCCGCTATTATATTTGACATGAAAAAGTGTTGCGGTTGCAACAATGTATCTATTTTTATCCGAATGAAACCATCCGAAATGGATACAAATAGATACAATGTTGCAACCGCTATACTTTTTCATGTCAAATATAATAGCGGAGCTCTCTGCAGGGACAGAAGTAATGAAATGCCAGCCGTAGGCGGGACGAAAATCGGCCGATTTTTTTTTTTTTTTGTTAAAAAAAAGGCCGGTTTTCGACCCATCTATGGCCTGCATTAGGGTGTCTCCACTCTGAATGGAGGAGCAACAGGGAAACCTTTGGACAGCAGCATTGTCAGCATGGGGAGAGGGTAGTATTAAGCTAGCAGATTTAGATGGACTTGACTAACAAATTAAAGCTGAACTTGAGCTAACACATTTTCGGCAGTTACAGTGACAGTTTTTCCTTTTGGGATAAAAGGTTTACAATAAATAAAAGCTGATCGTTGTAAGCCCCTCTGTCAATGGTTTATCTCAATCCTCTAACTGCAACGTTTTCTGGACAGCTTGTTCCGTTATAAAATAACAGATGTTCTGAAGGAATCAACAGGGGAAAATAAAGGAAAAAAAAAAAAAAAACGAAAACCAGAAAATGAATGCAGCCACCACATTAAGGGCCAATGCACACCATAAAGGGTACATTCGCACTTTTGTGCATTCCCGTGTGTCTCATTTTGACAGCCCACTAAATTCAGCATGCAGGAATGTGCAAAAAGTATGAAAGGTACGACTTTTAAAATCACAATGCACCAAACTGCATGGTGCAAGTGCTGCAGGCAGGCGTTCAGCTAAGTAGGAAACTGAGGAAGATGTGGGGGGGGGGGGGGGTGCTGTTACTTTAGGCCACAGGTGTTAGGCAGAAAGTACACTTACTCTTGAATGGGAACTTGTATTGACAGAGGTATAGAAGTTGTCATTGCTGCCTTCCTTCTAAAAACGTTACCTGGCAGCTTCTGTCTTCAATTCATTCTAATATTCTGACCTGGAACCAGCATGCACATTTGGAAAGTCAGAGCTCCTAGTCTGCTGAAGTCATTGGATCAGCATGACAGCCAATGAGATATTTTCAGAAGGGGAGTCAAGTAATGGCAGCCATTCACATTTCCTTAGTGCAGATTTCCCTAATATTGGTTATTAGTTGCAAAGGGGTAAGTACCAGACCGGCCAAAAATCTACAGTTGGACCAAAACAAATTATGGGATAAACAGTGGATTCTGAAACATGAAATAAAATGTACCGGAGTGTTTGCCCTTCCTGTTTGCACTCCCTGGCTTCTTCTCTCTACTCTTAGGTCTTCGTGCGGATCCACGGGAGGTGCGGGACGGAGATCCAGATGAACCTCGGGTGGACATTGCTGAAACTCAGTAGAGGAGACCAATTAATAGCATCACTAAAGGACTGAGAGAGAGAGGTGAGAACACTCACAAATACATATGTGAAATCCCCAGGCAGAATCTTCAGACTACTTTACAGTTAAGACAATTGCCTTCTGTTAGTGACCATTTTAGACCAAAGATGGCTACAAGTGGAACCAACGTAAAACAATGAAAATTAAAATATAAAAATACACACACACAGAAAATAAAAAATATTTAAATATACTTGTTCATATCGTACTGATATGGTAACCTTCTCTAAAGCCCAACTCAAGGCACAAAAAAAACCCTTACAGTGGGGCCCTCCCCATACACTGCAAGGGTTAGTCTAGGGCAGGGGTTTCCAACCTCTTGAAACAAAGGGCCAGCTCACTGTCATTAAGGTTTAAGTGGGGCCGGACTGTGGCCAGTGTGAGTAAAAAATGTCCCGCATCAGTGGAAGCAAACACTGCCCCACCATTGGTTTTAGCAAGACGTATAGTGCCCCATCGTTGGCTTTAGCAGGAGGAATAGTGAACCGTGCTTGCTATCAATTGGAGGCATAGTGCCCCATCGATTGTGTCAGTGGGAGAAATAGTGCCCCATCATTGGTCTTAGCAGGAAGAATAGTGCCCCATCGATAGTGTCAGTGGGAAGAAGAGTGACCATTAATGATGTCAGTGGAATGGTGCATGGGAGGAATTGGTCTTAGGTGTTCCCCATCATCCTCATCATTGGTGTCAATTGGAGCAATAGTGCCCCATCATTGGTCTTAGCAGGAAGAATAGTGCCCCATCAATGGTGTCAGTGGGAAGAAGAGTGACCATTAATGATGTCAGTGGGAGGAATGGTGCCTCATCATTGGTGTCAATTGGAGCAATAGTGCCCCATCATTGGTCTTAGCAGGAAGAATAGTGCCCCATCAATGGTGTCAGTGATAAGAAGAGTGACCATTAATGGTGTCAGTGGGAGGAATGGTGACTCATCATTAGTGTTAATCGGAGCAATAGTGTCCCAAGGGCTGGAGAGAGGCAAGCAAAGGGTTGCATCTGGTCCCTGGGCTGCAGTTTGGAAACCACTGGTCTGGGGAGTTGCAGAAGAGGCTCTATTACTTATCTGACTCCTCACTCCAGCAGGCTTTCCACCAAGCTCCAGTCTGGAGGCAGGCATCATCATCATCCTGTACAGTGTAGGGCTATTAACCCTGTATTGTATGTACTAGAGGCAGTAGTGGGACTGCGACTGGAGCAGCTTACAGAGGAAGCTGCAGTGGGCCAGTCATACGGAAGGAGGGAGCCTACTGCAGCGAGAAGATACATAATACTGCAACCCCTTAGAAATAATGACCATTAAACCTTTTCAGTGCAGGGCAAAAGGTCCTGCTTCAAGGGTACTTTTTGTTTTTTTCCTGGAGTTGGGCCTTAACAGCCCATTGGCACTTCTACAGCCCACTGCAGTGTGTTAACATACATTTCACTGTGGATAGGCTGCGATCGCACCTCAGCAGACAAATCAATGGCCATGCACTGTTTTTGTTGGCACACTTCTCCATGTGTTATGCATTGGCAGCTACTGTAAAGTGCCTTGGGATGCCATTCACAATGAATGGCACATAAAGCCGTAGAGGGTGATGGAAGAGAAGCCGCAGAAGGTCATGTGACAGCTAACCTAAAGGAGGCTTAGGAAAAGTTTTTCTTGTTTTGTTAAATGCCAATGGGTGGGAAGGATGGTGGAGAATTTCCTATGGGCACCATCTCCAAATTGAAGGTATGTATTAATACACACCTTCATTTTTAATACAAAAGAAAAAAAAATCTTGAGTGTTTCTTTTTTACAAAGTAATCTGCAATAAAACATAATTAGTAAAAAAACTCTCATCTGACTGTCCTGCCATAAGGTACTTTAATATTTGATACCACGGTTCTCTGTTCACCAGTGCTGTATGCACGGTGACATTAAATAAGCCCTTTTGTCTTTGATTGTGGACTTTTTGTCTTCTCTAATCTAACTAGGTTCTTCTTTAGAAAGTCAAATGACATCAATAAATTCTGAAGGTCCAACGATTTCAGAGACATTGCTGAACATAGGTGGGTTACGAGTAAACTTATGTCCTTTATGTTCACCTGGGGATCCGGCCAGTAACACACTTCCTGTCTTAGGGTGTCTCCACTCAGAATGGAGGAGCAACTGAGACACCTTTGGACAGTAGCTTTGTCAGTATAGAGAGAGGGTAGTGTTAAACTTGCAGATTTAGATGGATTTGACTAATAAATTAAAGCTGAACTCCGGCTAACAGTGTTTAAGCAGTTACAGCAAAAGTTTTGTTTTTCTTTTAGGATACAAGTTTTACAGAATTTAATAAAGAAAAGCAGACCATTTTAAGCCCCCCTTGTCAATAGCAAATGGTTTGTCTCACCCTTCTAACTTCCACTTTTGCTGGACAGCTTGTTATGTTATAAAATAGCAGACTTTCTGATGGAATCAACAGGGAAAAATAAAGGATAAAAAAATGAAAAAAGAAAACTAATGCAGCCCCCACATTAAAGCAGCAGTAAAAAGAAATAAAATAAATCCACTGCAAGGTAATGTCATATTGTGCTAGCATGCATTGAATAATTACCTTAAAACGAAGGCCTCCAGCGGCACGCTTTCACTGCTGCAGAGGCTTCCATCTTCCCCCGGTCATCTTTCCAGGTTCGCGAACTCCGACTGTCTGACTGGCCAAGCCACGATGACGTCCCTCCCATGCATGCGTGTGGGAGTCCCAGGCCACGGCACAGTACTCTGAAGGAGCAGCACTGGTATGCCGTTCCTTCAGAGTGCATGCGCTGGCTCTCAAAAAGAGCAAATATTTCCTAAATGGTGTATGTTTAGAAGATGTTGATTTTATCTACAAGTAAGCTTTATTTTAAGCTTAGGCTGGCCATACACTATACAATTTTCTGTCCAATTTCCTTTAGATTTACCTTCAACTATGTAGCGCAAGAGCCTGCCTAATTGGATACAATTGAAATTGTTGTCAGGTTTGACCTCCTATTATATGTTTTTTGGTAAATCTAAACCAAAAATCTCAAGAAAATTGTATAGTGGCCAGCCTTACCTGTAGGTAAAAGTTAAAATAAAGAGTTTACTACCACTTTAAAGGCCAGTTTACACCATAAAAGATGCATTTGCATTTTACGCATTTCCACTTGACACATTTTTGACAGCCCATCAAACTCAATGCGCAGGAACACGGAAAATGTACGACAGGTGCAACTTTTAAAATCTCACCAAACCACACGGTGCAGCTCAAATCCTGCACGCACGCGTTACATTTTCAGGAATGAATGCATGTGGGGTAGACGTGGGGGGGGGGGTGCTGTTACTTTAGGTCAGAGGGGTTAGGCAGAAAGTACACTGACCCTTTAAAGGCAACCTGTATTGACAGATGTTATCATTGCTGCCATCCTTCTAAAAATGCTAGTTACCTGACAGCCTCTGTTTTTAATACTTTCAGAAATTTTGACCTGGAACCAGCATGCACATTAGGAAAATCCAAATGAAGTCAGAGCTCTTAGTCTGCTGAAGCCTTTAGATCAGCATGACAGTCAGGGAGCTATTTTCAGGAGAGGAATCAAATAATGACAGCCAGTCCTTAGTGCAGGTTGCCTTTAAATTGATCAATAGCTACGGAGTAAGTACCGGATTGCCCAAAAATCTACAGTTGGTCCAAAACAAATTATGGGATGAACGTTGAACTCAAAAGAAACAGGAATAAAATGTACCAGAGTTTTTGCCCTGCCTGGTTGCACTCCCTGACTCCTTCTCTTTACTTTTAGGTCTTCGTGCGGCTCCACGGGAGGCATGCGATGGAGATCCAGATGAACCTCGGGTGGACATTGCTGAAAGACAGTGTAACACGGTGCATGGTTACTGAAGATGCAGAACTCTATTCACCCACAAGACAGCAGCATTCAGCACTTTATTTCTCCATGGACCTAATACAAGAACTCAGAGCATTCTGGGAGTTGTAGGCTGGAAGCAGGACTTTCTATACAGTAGAGCTGAAGTCACAGCTATAAGGCCCACAAGTACCAGTCAAGGGGAGGGACATTCTAAAATGTAAAGAAGCCGGGGCAGCTGAAAGGAGAGAGAGAGAGAGAGAGAGAGAGACTGTTGGAACCATGCTTCCCGATCCAGGCCGGGTCGAGCTGCATTCAACAGAGCTGTTAGTGAGCCGAGCAGCAGACTGCTGTGCCGAGAGTGATGAACAGAGACTGTTCTGGGGAGATCCGTCAGCATCCGGAGCCACTGTAAGAAATGCCACTACAGCCGTATCGCTATTTAAGGGGGTCCCCCACTGCATGACAACTTGCATTCTTTCAAGACTGCTGCAGAAGAACTGGGTGGGACAGCCACTCACCCATATTTCACTGTTATGCATTACAGTTCTTGTTGCAACGCAGGCCTACTTGGGCTATGGTCACTTCTTGACACTATCCTTGATCACAGCTAAATACACTGTTGCCATCTATTTCTGTAAGATGCCGCCTTTTACACTAAAGCTGCCACATAACCCAGACTGCTGAATTGGTTGATCATTTCTCTTCCTGTTTAGCAGACTCTGTCAACAGTATTTACCTTTGCTTAGCCATCTTAAAGGGGTACTCTTACTAAGTCCAACCTTTCTTTATGAACTTCCCCAATAACTTAATAAAAGTGAACTTCCCCATTGACTTCCCATCTTACAGTGAACTTCCCCACTGGCTCCACATCTTAAAGCAACATCACCCTGGTTTGCGCACCAACGTAAAGGGCCCCAATAAGTCGGCAGAAGCTTATATCAAAGGACTATTGAGACCTATGGAGTCTGCCTGGTAGCATTACTAGTGTGCAGGAAATTTGACGGACTTTCAGCCTAAGAGTAGACTCTACTAAGTGCTCCTATAGTGAAGGAAATAAGTATTTGATCCCCTGCTGATTTTGAATTTTTGCCCACTCACAAAGAAATAATCAGTCTAAAAATCGAATGGTAGCTGTAGCCCAGCGGGATCTCTAGTGGTCCACGGCACGGGGTTTCCCAGGACGCGGAGTCTAAGTCCCAGTCTGCCTTTTCACCAGAGCCCCTGATGGTGGGGATGGACTTGGTGCAAGACTGGAACCAGGTCGCGTCCCTGGGCACCCCCGGCGGTGGCAGAGGGGTCCCGCTGAGGGTATGTGCCCGGGATGAGTCTGCTGTGAAGGGGATGACAGACCCTGATCCGAGCGGGATGGATGGGATGACAGATCCCGATCCGAGCGGGATGGATGGACGACTGCTAGGAGTGAGCGAGGTCAGACTAGCCGGGTCGGTATCGTGCGGGCAGCGTGGTACAGAGGGAGCAAGCGGAGGATGGTCGGGGTCACAAGCCAGGTTCAGCAGGTAGCGGGCAGCGTGGTACAGAGAGTCAGTCAGAGGGATGGTCAGGAACGAGCCGGGGTCAGAGCAGGAGAGGGTCAGCGTAATCAGAACAGGCAGAGTTTGGCAACAAGGAAACGTACTAGCAGGAACACAGGAACAGGAACAAGACCTTGCGGCACTTTGGAAATGCACAGGGCAGATTTAAATAGGGCGCCCTGAGTTTCCATTGGTGCGGCCGCGATCGCTACTGCGCATGCGCATGGCCGCCGCCGCCGCGATCTCTGTATTCGCCGGCCAGGAAGAGTCGGCGATCTGCGCATGCGCGCGACGCTGAGCGGCCGGGATCCCTGACATTGCCCCCCTCCTACGGGCAGCCTCCGGATGCCCAACCGACCCCTTCCTAATGCCTGGTTCCGAAAAAATCTCTGCACAAGTCTTGGGGCGTGCACATTTTGGGCCGGCTCCCACGAATTTTCTTCCGCCCCATACCCTTTCCATTTCACCAGAAACTGAGTCTGGCCTCCCCTTTTCCTACAATCCAGGATAGCCTCAACTTCAAATTCCTCCTCCCCATCCACGTTTACTGCCTCCGGTGGTTTAGACCTTCGGTCCGGGAAGGGGTCTGGAGTTGCTGGTTTCAGTAGGGATACGTGGAAGACCGGATGAATCTTCATAGATTCAGGCAGAGCGAGCTCGTATGCTACCTCATTGATCCTGCGTTTGACCCGAAATGGACCCAGGAATTTGGGAGCCAATTTCTTCGATGGGCAGGACATCTTTAAATTTGTGGTGGACAACCAAACCTGGTCCTCCGGCCGCAAACTCAACTCCCCTCTTCTCTTTTTATCAAAAGCCCTCTTATTGCTCTCCTGGGCCTTTGCCATCGCCTCTTGGAGCAATTTGCTATTAGAGGATAAAAAGCTCAGCATGTCCTGCGTGGCCGGAACCGTGACTTCCGGAATCAAATCCGGCAAAAAAGTGGGGTGGAACCCATAATTTGCGAAAAAAGGAGCCTGGCCTGTAGCAGAATGACTCGCGTTATTATAGGCGAACTCCGCTAGCGGCAGGAGGGTCAACCAGTCGTCTTGGAGGAAGGTAGTGTAGCATCTGAGGTACTGTTCAAGTGTCTGATTCGTTCGTTCTGTCTGGCCGTTTGTTTGTGGGTGATATGCAGAGGACAATGACAGTTTAATCCCAAGCGTCTCACATAGAGCTTTCCAAAATCTAGACGTAAACTGAACCCCCCTATCTGACACAATATCCTTGGGGATTCCGTGGAGTCTTACCACCTCCCTGATAAAAACCTGTGCGGTCTCATGGGCTGTCGGTGTGTCCTCCTTTAAGGGTACAAAATGAGCCATCTTGGACAACCGGTCTACAATCACAAAGATTGCTGTGTGTTCCTGGGAGGGGGGAAGCTCTACAATAAAGTCAACGGAGATCATGCTCCAAGGTCTGTCAGGTATTGGTAGTGGGCGTAATAGGCCCCAGGCCTTGTTTCTGGTAGTTTTATTCCTCTGGCACACGGTGCAAGTCTTAACATATTTCTCGCATCCCTGGCCATAGTGGGCCACCAAAAGGTGCGTTGCAATAGTTCCAGGGTCTTGCGTATTCCAAAATGTCCCGCTAACGGGTGGTCGTGGGCAGTATCCAAGTACCAAGGTACGGGTCTCCTCGGGAACTACAATCTGGCCTTCTTTCCAAAGAAGCCCCTCCCGATTCACTAAGGAAATACCGGGTGTGCCTGGCATGCCTATGGATGCGGTCTGCAGTCTGGAGCGGAGCTCAGATTGTAGGATCAAAAAGTTCCCTGAGGACAAGATTGTGTCGGGTCGGGGCGTCTCTTCAGGGTCCCCGAACATACGGGAAAGCGCGTCGGGCTTAGTATTCTTTGATCCTGGTCTATAGGTAATGTGAAAAGCAAATCGCGAAAAAAAAAAGTGCCCACCTAGCCTGACGTGGTCTCAAGCGCTTTGCTGTCCTCAAATATTCCAGGTTTTTGTGATCTGTGAATATCAATATTGGGTGTACTGCCCCTTCTAATAAATACCCTCCATTCCTCTAGTGCCACCTTGATTGCTAGAAGCTCCCGGTCCCCAATATCGTAATTCCTTTCTGCGGAAGTCAGTTTTCTAGAGAAAAAGGCCACTGGGTGCATGAGCTCTTTAACGCCCTTCCTCTGCGACAAAATCGCCCCCACTGCGTTTTCAGACGCATCCACCTCCAGGATATAGGGCATAGATGAGTCAGGATGGCTCAGGATAGGGGCCTCAGTGAATAACCTCTTTAAAGTGGTAAACGCTTCCTGCGCTTCTGGTGTCCACTGGAAACAGACCCCCTGTCTGGTTAACTGAGTAATCGGGGAAACTAAACCTGAAAAGTTCTTAATGAACTTTCTATAGAAGTTTGCGAAGCCTATGAACCGTTGGACCGCCTTCTTGTCAGTGGGTATAGGCCAATCTAAGATAGCTGACACCTTTTGGGGATCCATGGCTATACCTGTAGTGGAAATGGTCAGACCCAAAAAGGAAATGCTATGCTGCTCAAAGCAGCACTTGTCTGCCTTAGCATATAGACCGTGTTGGCGGAGTCGTTCCAAAACGTACCTCACATGCCCCCTATGGACCTCTAAGGATGGGGAAAAGATCAAGATGTCGTCTAGGTATACGACAACAAAGATGTCCAGATAGTCCCTAAATACATCATTAATGAAGTGTTGGAAAGTGGCGGGCGCGTTGCATAGGCCGAAGGGCATGACCAAGTATTCAAAATGCCCGAATCTAGTGCGGAATGCTGTTTTCCACTCATCCCCCTCTCTGATGCGGACTAGATTGTATGCTCCCCTCAGGTCCAGTTTAGTAAAGATAGAAGCTGACTTTAATCTCTGAAAGAGCTCAGGGACTAGAGGTAGCGGGTAACGATTCTTGACAGTTACTTTGTTCAGGTCTCGGTAGTCTACACAGGGTCGTAGGGATTTGTCTTTTTTTTCCACAAAAAAGATACCAGCCCCAGCTGGTGAAGTGGAGGGCCGAATAAACCCCTTGCGGAGACTTTCGTCAATATACTCCTTTAGAACCCCTAATTCCCGTTCAGTTAACGGAAATATTCGCCCAAAAGGTATCTCCGAGCCTGGGAGCAAATCAATCGGGCAGTCATATGTTCGGTGCGGGGGCAGGACCTCTGCCCCCCCCCGCTTACTGAATACATCTAAATAACTATGGTAGGCTAAAGGAATGGCTTGAGCCAATTCTGCCTCCATATCCAGACAGAGCAAAGCCTGCGGTGCCGGAGACGCACTAGGGAGGCAATGCTGCTGGCAATAGGATGACGTGAAGTGAACTGATCCAGACTTCCAATTAATCTGCGGGTCATGGGCTTGTAACCAAGGGAGGCCCAAGATCACCGGAAACAGGGGGGATGCGATGGCATCCAGGCGGAAGCTCCTGGTGATGGTTGGCCACTGTAGTAAAAATAGGTGGAGTTTCACGGTCCACTACCCCTGA